CTGCGGAAGCTCCGCAGGGATCTCTTCCGGAAGCACGTCCGCGGGCTCCCGTAGAATCTCGTAGAAGGGACTCGACTTCAGCGAGTCCCAGCTCTGCTCCTCAACGCGCTCCTTCTTAGTATTCGCACTGAGAGTGGCCTCACTCTCAGTGGTGGTCTCCATGAAGAACTGTCTCAGTTCTCCATTCTCGCTCTTCGTTCTCTCGATGTCCGAGAGAATGTATATTTGCTCGATGCGTCCATCGTGCAAGTCACGCGCGAAGCGTTTCCAGCTCATGACTGGATGCGAAGTCAACTCCGACGCTTGCGTCGGAGGATTAGCGAGAGTCATCTCCCTGTACCGGAACCCGGTACAGGTACGCGTCAAAACGTTCAACGCCTCGATGTCCGGCTTCTCAGCCTCCATCTGCCCGGCAGACATTTATTGTAGCTTCTCGGCCCCAGGCCGAGACTTGCGCAGCGACTTTCGCATGCGCCGTCTTCTTGTTTTGCGGAGCCCGGCTCCGCTTGGTTCTTGACCTCGTCCAGGCCCAGCCGTGGGCGGGCGTTTTTCTTCAGTACCGCCGGCGGGTTCATCCCGCAGACGAGCGACTTCAAGCACGGTTTAGTCGCCCGGCTCTTCGTTGTGCAGCCCGACTGCACGACAGCATGCAAGTTTTCCGGTGCGGGACGTTTGCAACCGTCCGAACCGCCTACAGGGTCGGCTCCCGGAGCCGACACGCCATCGTCACCTCGACGCCTGCTATTGGCGGAGCCCTAGTACCTCGACGCCAACCATTGGCGAAGACCCCCATTACGGAGGGTGCGTCGGCTCCTTGAGTCGATATGATTGGCTCGTCGACTCCCCGAGTCGTCTGAGCATCGTCACCCTTCCCCCTTAAGGTCGGTGACACCTTCGAACCTGATCCAATCAGATTTCCCTCAATCCATGCTTCAGCCTCCCTGGCTGAAATATGAAAAATGTTTACGTCATCCGCGTCCCTTCGGACTGGAGACACCCCCAAAATCAGATCCATGTCAGTCGTGGGGACTGACATATGTGACACATGTGCGTCACCCACGCCCCTTGAGGTTGGAGACGTATTCTGATTCGCTGAAAATCGGGTGTCGATCTCCGAGATCAACACAGTTTCTCCTTAAGCCGTCGGCGAGGACGCCGACGATTGCTGCTCTTGCGCACGTGCTCGCACGCGCCCAGGGCGCTCCGGGACAGCAGGCATTAGGCGCTGTCTCGAGTGGGGAGTCGCGCGCACCTGTCCGTGCGTGCGTAGTGGCAACAAGGCCATCGCTCAGTGTTCCGCTGTCGCGCCCACAGCGCACGAGAGTGCGCTTCTCCCAATCGATGACCGCATCATGCCGTGCAAGCGACGGCGCCCAATACAGCGCACGCGTACCATGCGCTTCTCGGTTTTAACGATGGCACTCGTTGCCAATCGAACTTCCAACATACTTCGAGGTATAATTACCTCCTCGAAGTCAAGCCTTGATAGACTTCGCAGTCGAACAAAGTTGTTCGACGCGCCCGAATCAACCAAAGCACGAAGAGAGTTGCTCTCTCTCTCTTCGAAGACACTTTCAAGATGACAAGGCTCGGTTTGTCATCGTGCATTTTGCAGTGAGAAGGGTCCTCCCTGGGGGCTGCAGTCCTCAGTGTCGCATGTCCGAGTTGGACACGCGTTACTGCTTCACCAGTAGGGCGCCCCGCGCCTACTGGATTCCAGCGTTTTCTGTTTGTCCGCGACGATGTCCGGCATCGCCGCGTCGACCACCATCTTGGTGCAACGGAAGCATCGTACATTACTTCCTTGTTGCTGTTTATAATCAATAGCCGTTGGATTCGAGAGGTCCATTGGTTTCGGACCTCCCGCTATCGCAACCGGAGGCGGTCACAGCCTCGGCGCATTCGCATGCAGCTTAGCCTGTCGCAGGCTAAACTCCTCCTGCATTGCAAGAGTATTTGCAGCTTCGAGAGTACTCGGATACTCACGGAAGAGATAGGACTTCACAGGCCCATCTCTAAGTCCTTTCATGAACGTGACGACCTTGGTCGCCTCGTCTATCGGGTTGGTCACAATGTTCGAGACCAAGTACCGTGCTCTCTTCGCGTAAGCATGAATATCATGCTTACCCTGCTGTAGGTCGAGGAACTCTGCCCTCGACCGGAACTCGTTTTGCGGGGGCTCAAATGCTTGTCTGAGCTCTACCGTGAACCCCTCGTACGTGCTAAAGCACGTAGGATCCGAGAGTCGGCGTCCATACGCCCAACTTCTCGCTCGTCCGCCAAGACATGACATGGCGTACGCAACCTTGGACAACGGGTCGACGATACGTCGAGCCGCAATAGCAGTGTTGAGGTCGACAAGCCACCGGAGGAGAGGCTCGCCCTTTCATCTGACATAGTTGGTCACGTTAAACTTCAACGATTGCTCACGCGGTGCCGTCCTCGACGCCACCGTGATAGAGGAAGCAGCATCACGCTGCTCCTTCATGATGAATCCCAGAGCAACGCCGTGTTGCTCCGTCGGCGATAGTGTGCCCAGCGTTGCAGCTACAGCCGCTTCTCCAATGACTGTTGACAGTGTTTGGAGTGCCTCCCACTTTGGGTCCGACAGGTGGAGGCAGTCAGTGCGTGCAACATGAGTTGCAGGCGAAGTGGAGCTTTGCATGAGCACTTCCGCGCTCATGAAAAGGTTCTCGGCTCGTCGTTCGTACAGCTCCGTATGAACGTTGAGGTAGTCGGTCGTTGGACGGACTACAAAGCGCTACCAGGTGTAATGGGCCTACCTTGGCTCACTACTACGGCTTACACGTATGCGCACGTGTATGTAGGTTTCTTCTACTTAAGTTAAGTATACTCGAGATCCACGAGTATACTTTAAACAAGATAAAGACTACAAGTAGCGGGTTTTGGTAAAAGATGAGAACTGCTATTTTTGTTTTATGTTTCTGACTTCCTCTAAATGTAATATTCTAAACTAGGAATCTGCCAACGGCTGGTTGGCAGGATTCTGCTAACATACAAGTCACTCATTGGCTAAAAGATGCTGCTTTCAGTCAATAGGAATCCTAAATGTGTATGGATCACCCGTCGTGGTGGTCGTAAATGTATGTAGCCATTGGTGTACCTTACACCAAGGTCGAGGAAGTGTTCAAACCTCTAACAGACATCGCATCTGTTAGAGTAACAAGTGACTGTAGCCACTTGTGCGTGTAACCCCGTTACATCTCTTGTCTGTCGCTGGCACATGAACCGCAACGTTATTGCAAAAGCACGAACAGTGTTAGGACAAGTCGAGAAAGCCAACCCTGCGCCTGGACAAGACACCTACGAGAACATGGTTGCCACAGAGCAGTTCATGAAACGGTACCGCGCCACGGCTGATTCCAAAACGGAGGCTGACTTTGAGGCGAATCGAGTGTTGCTTCGTGATATGACGCTGAATTGACCAGTTATATGGATGCCCACTGGTAGAAGTACAAAATCAGGATTCTGGCCTGCTGGACGCCGCAGTATCTTCATTTTGGATATCGAGACACCTCAGCCGTGGGAGGAATACATTCCAAGTTTACGAGATGGCTGGAGAAATCCCAGGGAGATTTGTATCAAGCCTTCAAGAAATTGTTTCCGTCGAGGTCTTTGACAATCAGAAACTTTATTCATAGTTTTGGCATGGACATGAAAAACGTACCACATCTCCATTAAGATGAACGATTCTCGGCCGTCTCGATGTTTGCTATCTAGAAACAAACAGTGAATATGTGGGAAAAGGTGGAAAATATTGTGAGGAAATGTGAGACCATGGAGTCGTGCACTGGTGTATTTTGACGCGCAAATGGGAGACCATGCGTTCATGAACTGGTTGAAATCGCGAAATCCGAACGCCAAAAGAAGCTCCTGCTGGGACCGTTCCATTTGCACAGGCATAATTTAAAAGGTAGCGATAGCGAGCGTGAGTCAAGAATCTTGGATCCGGTATCTCTCCGCACCGCAAAGGAGGTCAGGTCCAGCAAAACAGGACCTCACAAGAAGAACCACGGGGATTCTGGCACTGCTCGCGATCCTACGTTTGCCGAACGTGTGGGTTTCAACCATTCAGCATCGCCGCCCCGGTCAGTAACCCAAGCTGGTCAGTTTTAACCTTAAGTGACGTTTCTAACACGACACTAGTCCCCCGATTACCGTCACTTAACACAGGTTTGGCCCAACTAAGCGCAAAAAACAAGACTAGCTGACACTCGACAACACCGCTTTGGCTCCTCAGACCCAAGATTCAAGCGCGCGCAGTTTCGACGACACACCTTTAGCTCAACAAGCGCAGGACCTACATGCACAGATTCCATACTTCTTCGACTACAATTCGCCCAGATGTGGGGATACGCAGGATGATAAAGAAGGTCCTCTGTCACACATGGGTGCATAGCAATACGTAGGAGTGCATAAACCACCATTTTAGCTGTAAACTATAAAATGGACTTTCATTTTACTTCAGTTCGGGTGAACCCAAAAAGTCGCGAGCTCGGGCTCCTGGGCTCTTGAGTTCAATAGATTAAGTGAAAGGAGCCCTCCAGAACTGTGCGCCCTCGTTAAGGGCTCCCCCTCACCTGTGTTCGTTGTTGGTATTTTCCAACGTCACAGTTCCTGGGGTTTAATCGGTTTAATATTGCGCGGTTGTCGCCTCTGCTTAAAGGACAGTCGAGACCAGCCGCTGGTCCATCGGGGTGCTTGATTAGTAAGACATCCATGACCTCGCTTCGTATTGACCTAGTGAGTGAGATACCCCACTTTCCGCGTAGATAGTAGGACTTCTTTTGGGTTTTGCACTTCTCCTTCTTTTCGGCAACTCGATTCTTCACAGATCGCTTGTCGCACATGAACTTCTTGTTTTAGTGGCGCTTCAACGAGTAGGGACTTGCGAAATCATTGTTACACTTTGAGCAGCGGGCGCCGCGCGGAGACCCATCACCGCTTCTCATGTTTGCGGTATCTCGCGAATCTCGCGCATGACCGACCTGGACAATATGTCGGTGGTGTGCTCGTGGACAGATGGGACTGCGAAGGCGAAAAAGACAAAGTCGGCGTTGATCCACGCCCCGTCGGTTATCATAACCCGAACGGAAACACAATCCGTTGGCAGGCACCCCTTCCATGCTGCGGCTGGAATGGCAAATCGGCTCCTTCTTGGACGACGTCGAGAACCAGAAGTCGGGGTAGGCATGGGCCCCGTTAGCATCAAGATGGCGGGAAACTTAAACTAGCAAGGCGCTCATTTGAAGATTTATAAGTTTTCCTGTTTCATTGCTATATAGATTTAAGCCCTCCAGGGTATCTATGCTGCGTTGGCGAGAATGGCGTTACCGTCATCATCTATGTTGACACTAATGAGTCATACAAGGAAGCATCATGCGACCTTCTCGCTCGCCTGGCCAAGTGTGGCGTGATCTAGCGCATTAACGTGTCGAACACGTAAATTATGCACCGCAAGATGGGTAATATTTTGCTGCATTGAAAACCGTTTGTGAGAACATGACCTTAATATGAACGCTCTACTACGACATCGTGCATTTTGATTGGTATGGATTTGTCTATTATATTATTGTATTGACACCGGTACATTTGGAGCTATGTATTTATGTTAGCCATATTGCGGTGCGGGTTTTACAGGAGCCGCGGGCTTTTCGAAGCACGCTTCAATAAATAAAAAAATAACCAAGAGGATGTTCATGGCGGTCCACGGATAGGAACGCGAAACGGTAATTAACAATGCGGTACATTTGCTTGCGTTCATTGTCTTGTGAGCAATCGCGAGATCCAAAAGCCCCACCACTGTATCGGTTGCGTTGTTAACTGGCACATCGGTGTTGTCCTACGTTTGCAACCTTTCTACTGCTTTATCGCCTAGTATGGCACCTATTCGTCGAAGAAACCGCCAGCTTGGTAATGAAGTGACCCAGAACGCGTTCTCTCAGGTTATAAACTTAATCATGGCACAGCCACAGAAGACGCAAGTGGTCATTTGGACGACCAAGAAAAAGATGCGGTGAGCACGGCGTGCGTCACATCAGGACGATTCACGCTGTCGGATGCAATTTAGGCTCATTGGTAGAAACCCTGGGGGTATCGCACCTTCCTTTTTGTTCTTTGCTGGCAGAGTACAACCTCACCCTGGAGACACTAACTAGTCGAGTGCACCAAGTGAAGCCGTCGAAGAAGATCCTGACGACGCGCGCGACTCCTACTAGACAGCGTGAATCCCAACGGCAGTTAAGTAGATAAAGTATTTACGGAGGCAACGAGAGTGCTGCGGAACTCGCTTGAGACCAAGTTGCCCAAGCGGCAGTGCTTAGCGGACTACACGGAATCGATGGATGAGGCGCTCTCGCACTTCGAGACGTGCTCCCTCGGCGATATCGTGAATGGCGCCGATGGTATGCCAAGAACGAGGGTCTATGTCGCCCTAAGTACGAAAAGTGGTTGCCCTCGCGAAAGTATAAGATGTTCTCCGTGCGTGCGTTGTCCAGATCGGTCCCAGTTCAGTGTCAATGAGCTGCGCGACAACATGAACGCGGGATCGTCGCTGTACGATCAGATCGTGCAGCACTTCAAGGCCGGCGACTGCATCAGCCCCGAGGAATCTCGTCACGTGTAAGCTGAGGCTTTGCGGGTCGGACTCGGTTATCGTCGACAACGTTGGGCACAATTTGACGCATATGGACCATGCGAACGATGCTTTGGGGGTGGGTCTGCACGCGAGATGGGTGCACTCGAACGGCGCGCTGGTATTCCGCCACTTGGCTCGTGACCACGCGGACTGGACCAACAATAAAAAAAGCTCAAGTCGTTGAAGCTGGCGGAGGTGCTGCAGCGCCTGCCCTTCGCCGAGCACCAACGCGCCGAGTTGCAACAGCTGTTTCACATCAGCTGTGCCGCGTAGAGTACAGGTCGTTTCGCTAATGAGCTGTAACGGCAGTACGAAGAAGCGCACGCGCAAAATTGGCATCATAAAAAACGGAATACAGACCTTATCAAGCTAGGATATGATTTTTAGCCTGGTTGCGAGGAATGCGTCGCTACTGTTGCTTGTTATGCAAGTATTAAGTAGTGACACGTATCTACATCAACGTGTAGCGTTCCTCACCGGAGCGATTTTGGCGAATACTTTATGGATTTAGACATTTGTGTAAGCTACAGGAGACGCTGTATGACCTCCAATGGGCGCCGTGCACCGCGGAAGTTTTAGATAAACTTAGGGTTTCGCCTGTGCACCACGGAGTAATATTTGTGTTAGCCAAAGGGAAGGTAAACATTTCCATATGAAAAAAAATTAAGGCCAACTTGTACCAAAGTCTAGTGAGAAGGATCGGACGAGGTGCATTACCTCATGAAAATGGAGACGTTGGCTGGCCTCGTCTAAGAACGTAAGGGTAGCCTCCAACAAAATTGTTTACACTCTTGTACCGCTGACCCGCAAATTCTATTCCAATACTGAGTCACTTCATCACCAAGCTGGTGGTGACTACGACGAATAGGTTCCATGCTAGGCAATGCAGCAGTAAAAAGAAGCAAACGTAGGGCGACACGTTTATGCCGGGCTAACACCGCGACAGGTACATTATTGGGTCAAAAGGATCTTTCAAATGCTCGCACGGCGATGAAAGCAAAAGTGAGTGAGAGCACGAACCGTACCGCAGAATTAATTAAATAAAATACCCAAGGCAGACTATTCAAAGTCACATCGCCAGCGGCAGACATTCCCCAAGGAAGGAGCTTTGCAGGCAGGCACACGGCCAAGTATGCAGCCGTGAAGGCGCCTATGAAGGAACTTCATCCGCCTCCGCGTAACCAGCTGTCAGTACAGCCGCTTCAATAGATCACACATCTACTCTATCCCGGCAGCAGGTACCAAGTCGGCTCGACCACATTCGCTTGGTGAACTAATCTTCAGAGTAGTGTAGCCGTAGCAGACAGATTAAGCTCGCTCTGGATGCAACGGTGTCGATGTCGATGATGCCGTATTGGACCCTGCAGCATGATCACACGTCTTCCACGACAGCGAATATGAGGCGCGGGGGGGGGTGGGGGTCACCACAGCAACCAGGCACGCAGCATTGAGACGTTACATAGTAGCAGTAGATCGGTTGATATGTGTTCTTAGGAGGAAGCGCACTCATTGTCACAGCAGCGAATATGAGCCCGCGGGGGATGGGAATCATCACAGCAACCGAGCACACGCTGCAACGTGATCAGAGTCGCAGTAGATTTGTTTACGGCTCCGCATCAAGTAAAGTTCGTTTAGAGCTCTTCTGCGCGAGCCGCACACCATTTAAGTTAGGTAACGCAGCATTTACAGCTAACGCTGTGTATACACAGAGAAGCTCTGGATTACTAGGTTCTGCGATTCGTGAAATTCTAAATGGTTGGTAAAACTTCTTAAAAATGTTATTAAGCAATCGTTTTTAGGTTGTACCTTGAATTCAACGACAAACGGAGTTCTATTAACCGTACACCGTACTTTGTTGCTTATGTCTTGGAAATAAGCCCAATGTGTTTAGGAGCCCGTCGTGTAGTAAAAACAACTTCTAAGTAGAAGCTTGCCCTTATATGTAACTTTGCCAAATCAATACAACCGTTCTAGTTCCTCTATTAGCTATATAAAACCCTGAGAGTCACAATTCAGTCAGTACAGTTATTGGGCTCTGCTCCAATTCTGGCTAAACGACGTCGTATCGCTACGATACACTAGCGTAATGGACTCCTAGATTAAGTCCCACCGTGTGATAACAAGCATCGTTAGGATGCCTCTCAATACCTCGATTAAATCCATTCCTGTATCTGGCCCAGCAGACATGGCACGAAGCTCTCCACAATGAAATCAGCACAGGACTACGAAAGGTAGCAACGGTCTGCTACGCCCCCGCGTTAGCCTTACCACCCGCATAGCCCGACGCCGGCGAGATGAAGTCACCACGGCGACAATGATGAATATGAGTGTTATCAGCAGCGTGGAGGTAAATATGTCCCACGAACTAGGGTGTACTTTTTATGTCTTCTGTTGCAGTTTGTGGTGCGCCGTATGTGCGGCGTGTCTAAGTCGCGCGAGCAAGCTGCGTTTGTCGTTTGTATTTCGTTATGCTATTTCAGCCCCCTTCGATGCTTCAGATAGTATATGAATCAAATATTATGTGAGTCGGCACTATAATTGAGTGTGCAAAAAAGGCGCTACCAGCCTAATCCTCTAGCTGATTGACAGCTCGGATCTGGAAAAATCAATAATTGCAATCTCGACAATGCCATAAAACAAAAGATTTCAATATATGTTTCCACTTGCAGTTCCTCTGCTAGGTTCAAACGTTTATTCATTTGGTGGCGCTATCGTCCTAAGACCTGTGCTTTTTCGATTACATTGGTGTAAGCTTCAAACCTTTTGGAAAATGCAGTGTCGTGTCTTCAATTTATCGTGTTGATTGTGTTCCTCATCTAGACATCCAATAACCCCTCATAACCGTATTTTGAAGCAGCAGAAGACAGTGAAAGGATCTAAGACCGGTTGCATGGGCTTAGAGCTGCTTGTGGCCCAAGGCAAGCTGTTTCGTAGCTCAAAATCGGACATCAACATTTTTATTGACGAGACATCTACAAATCACCTTCCCGGAGTGGAAACACGACATTCGTGGCGTTCATGCAAGCGAGATCGCGATCAGTGACTAGCAACCGGGGCAAAATGATTTCATTGTCCATCAACAACTGCTTCAAAATTGAGAGTGCCCAGGTATAGTCGGTTGGGCCTCACGAAGCAACCGGCACTGAACGATAGGGAGAATTGTGTTGGTCCCCGTGAGCGTGATGATGTTGAGCAGGGGGGTAACTATTTTATAAGTACTATCTTGCACCAAGATGTCGAGCAAGTCCAACATCAGTTCTAAAGTGTCTGGGTGAACCCACGAAATGTATCGTAATCGATTGCTCTTGTCATCCATTTATTAACGATAGTGAAAGCGCTTGTCGGGTTCCTTAAAGTGCGGATCGAAGACGGCAGTTGAAAACATCTGTTTCCGACGAGATCTCCCCTTTTTGTTTGAAATGTTACGTGGCGTTATGAGAGCGTTCTTGTTGGAGTGTAGTATAGTCGCGAACGTCTTGGACGTAGGAATACCATCAGCGTTATGGGCGAAAATTACGTCGTTTATGGTTTGGACCTCAGCCGTTTTTAAAGGATTTTGTATTGTGCTGACGGTCAGGGACGTGCATATGATCATCACGAGACGGTTCGTGGTTTTGGATATGGCTGTCGTCGAGAGTGGCTTATTCTCCTATTAACCAGCGGGGGTTCGCTTGTTCCTTGCTGCCGGCGTACACGCGTTCGTCGGTCAATATGGCCAGAACGTCTATCCGGCCTCTCACGACCGTCGTCGCGCAGTCGGTGAGTGCTCTTGGACTTGCCCCCAGTGATAGCACGCGAACAACTGGTAGATTACTTATTTTGTACTGTAGCGGTCGTGTTGTTTCCGTTACATTGAATTCATGTTGGAGAGTCTAGTCGTGGATGGTCTGCGTATCCTGGGAAATTTTTTTGAGGAGGTGGCAGCAGCCAAATCTTATCCTCCTTTATCTGTCCTCCATACAGCCAAACACTATTAGCATGCATAGCATGCCCGGCCGGCTGGGTAGGCTGGGAGCTATCATGACGAAGGCGTTCATCAACTTGGGCGGCCTGATCAGCAACGTGGGGATCAGTAATAAATGCTCCCGTACATGGTACACGTCTTGGATGCTAGCGGATACATGGGCTGCGCCACCGAGTCCGGGAGCGTGGAGGTTCCCATGCACGCCATCGAACCCAGGAGTGTTGTAGACCTCATGTACGCCATCGGGTCAGGAGGATAGTTGTACACCCTGTATGTCACCGGATCGGAGGCAAATGATCCCCCATGCACACCACCGGTCCGGATGCAAGTTGTACCCCGAGTACGCCAACGGGTCCGGCGGCGTTTTGTACTCCATGCATGGCACAAAGTTCGTAGGCGTCGTGTGCTCGATGCACGGCACCGGGTCCGGGGGCTGGTTGAGCTCCATCTACGGCACCGGAGTCATTATGGGCGAGGTGCTAATTGACATGGGCAGGCGTTGACAGCGGCGATTTGGTCGTGGCTTTTCATAGTTAACTAGAAAATTCTGCAGGAGGCGGTGGTCGCTTGATGCTTGCTAAGGGCGATTGAAAGTGGGGCAGCCTGCAGGCTTATCAGTCTAGATATCTAGTTCGATAGATGAGAATCGTCCTAGGGTTCATGTTGAAGACGTCGGCTTCGCGAATTTGCCGCATTATCACTGGCAGATGTTGGCCCGTTTTGATTTCCCCTCAACACAGTTTAGGAACAATATCGAGGACGACTGAGATCACGGAACAATCAATTATTGTGATTGACCATCTTGGCAATACCGTTATTACAATCGCAATCATGTTTTTCGCAGCCCTGACACCTCGGCCGAGCGCAGGTCCCACATCTTCTGTTTAATACCCCACTCTAGGCCGTGTCTCTATCGTAGAGAAAAAAATACCGGACTTCTGAGATCCTTCTGTGAAAAGTAATTAAAGCCAGGGATAACGAAAACGCTGCAGACAAGCGCCATGATGCGGCTTCGCCCAACAACACAACATGACTTAGCACAACGTTAATAACCTTATTGCAACGTTTCTTATACTGGGATAGGAAGCAACGTTAGTGCTGCTATCGCAGACCAAATAGGATTATATCCGTGGTACGTCAAGTCAAACGATGATCCTTCTTGACCTTTAACTGGTATATTTTCTTGAAACCGGTGCGACTCCGGTGCCGTTTATATGCGTGGATAGACTGAACCGGTAAGATACCCATCACACCGATATGACCCCGGTGTCTCACTGGGCCCTATAAAGGTTTATATGCGTGGGCAGATCGAACCGGGGTGCTGCCGATGACACTGGTATGAATCAGTGCATATACTGAGCAGGGTACGGATGGATGAAATGAAGTAAAGATAACGCTTGGACTGTACAATAGCACTAGAGGTACTAAGGGCGTGTTCGCGATTGCCCAAAATCGCGAATTTAGGTCCATAATTGAATTTAGGTGCAAAATTAGCATCGCGAACACGAAAAATCATAGTTGAATTTTGGCACCAAAAATTCGATTTTTAGGTCCGAAATCGTGGTTTTCAAAATTCAGGTCTGCACCCGAATTTTCGATGATTTTGGCCGCTGACCCCCACTTTTAGGGCGCAAAACCACAGTTGCGCGACTGCACGCCTCCTCTAACGTCGGGTGGTGCCTACAGAACCTCCGAAAGCGCCAGCAGAAGCACCAGGGGACGAAAAAGACGTATGAGCGGCCGTGGTGGACTCGGCGCAGACTGGGTCGCAGGGATAGCTTCATCTTGGCGGGCGATGTTGATGCGGGGAGCTGCATTTCCTCGTGCAAGAGCTACATTGGTGACGCTGGTCTCCACCTTGCACACGGCATGCTTGCCAAGTCACAAGCTTGAACCCGAGAAGGTGACAAAATGGTGCGCATCTCATGCAGAGCTGATGGCACATTGACGAACGGAACCAGGAGCGCGACAACGACAAACGAGCACACGAGCATGCTGGCTTCCACGCCCGCGATTTCTCGATGAAGGTCAAGACTGAGAGGAGCCGTTCTGTACTGGGTAGCCCACGGGGCGGTCAGCGTCAAGGTAGCAGTCATTTGGCGCTGTTCCGCGTATACGCCAAACCAGGCCACCGTGATCAACAGCATTGTCGCGCGCGAGGACGACGGGCTTGTCGGGCTCCTCGACGTGATGCCCATATCAGAGAGACGGGGGACGACTGCCACACGACCGCGGAGACTTCTCCGCCAACCTACAGGCCTGTGAGGCTTTGACGCATATGTTTAACACGCTGTTGCCGCTCATGGGATCCGTCTGAAGTGAGGATAGCTGCATGATTCCACTCAAGAAGCTGGAAGACTGCTATAGATGTGTTGAACGACGTAAGGTGCAGAAGCAGCAGCATTTAGCGACAGAATAATGAAAACCAGCAAGGTCCATTGATAAGCATTTGTTGCTACACGTTTAACATCCACTTAGCTCCCATTCTTTACGATCTGACCAGCATATATCCGGTTCTTCTCAAACTGCTTTCCTTTCCTCTGGGAGATCTTTGGTTCATTCTTGATTTTGACGCCGTCGGCACCATTGAACCCAGCTCTTATACGATGTCTGCAGCGAACGTCAACGACGCCCCCACTGCTGAGCGCGCGACGTGGGACAAATTTACCGAATTTGATCTCCTTGACAAGTACCTGACGGCTAGGAATGACCCCAAGAATGCAACGGAGAAGGGGCTCACGAAGTCAGCATGGAGCGAGCTGATAAAGGCGCTGAACGAAAAGAAAAACCGCCAGCTTTCTGTGCGTAACAAGCCTTGTTTGCTTTATTGCCCTACACGAACCGGTGACTGATAACTACACTGCCTACGGTAATTAGTCTGACCTAGACTATTTTTGATTGAATGGTTCATTGCTCTTAGACAATAAAAAGTCTGACCTAGACTATATTTTAGCTAAGACTACTTATGAAGCAACACACACGAAAGAGTCTTACTCGAACTTTTCATCGACCGACTTACCTTCGAAGTGCTCGCGATGTTTCGCGATAATATCTTGAAGATGCGGGTAGAGCTGGCCAGTCGACCAGGGACTATCGATTCCAAGTGAAAGTCCACATCGAATTATCGCCTTGCGCGCATAGGACATGTCATTTTTGTCCTTTTGAAGGTTGACGGCTTTCACCGCCTCTGCAGCAAGCTGGAGGAAAAACTTTTCCCCTGGATTTTGAACCACAAACAACAACAACACTTGCAAAGAAAAAGGTGTAATGGGTCAGTCGTGCTGATTAGAGCCTTGCACCCTTACCCGCATGACACAGGAGATACTAATTTTGAAGTTGAAGTGGTCAGACTAATTATGAATTCTACAATTTGACCAGTACAATAAATAGTATGACCAAGACTATTTTCGAACATAGACTATTTCCGCACACAGACTAATTACCGTAGGCAGTGTAGTTTCTTTTGCATATAGCGCAATACAAGACGAAACTTACGCGTCTAATGCAGTACTACGACTTGTACTGTAACGGGGTTACACGAGAGTTACCCGAAGGGTTATGATGTGGGTACACACTGTCTAACCTAAATCAGTAGGAGAATCAGTATACGGCTTAAGAGCCACTGATTATGCATTTGACTAGGGTTCACTATGCTAGATAGTGAACCGGATACATTCACACCGTAGGCAGCTTGGCCGCGATAAAGGGAAATACATTCAGTTTGAGATTCACACAGTTAAGAGTTAAGGGTTGACTCTTGGACTCCGTAAGGTGTACGGACTCGTACGTTCTGGTATTTGAACGGGCAATCTTAAGCTGAGACTCTGTGAGCCTGATAAGCTTCCTCTGACGCAAAGCTACGGCAGCCCCGCTGCATGTACAAGGCTATTGCAAGCACGAGCGGAGGTGGAATCCGCCCAGATACGAGCATACCCCTTCTAGACGACGACGTATGGGAGAAACTTATCGACGAAGCTGACCCGAAGCAAAAAGGTCAAATTAGATCCATCCGTGAGAGAGAATTCGAGCACAGCACTGTGTGCAGTTTGATTGCAGGTGAGACTGACTCCGTTTACACGCTCGTTGTTCAGACCAGTAACTTGTTTGTTGTTTAGAATAGGTGACACGCGTGCCACTGGGGATGAAGCGCGCACCATTGAAGCCACGCTTGCAGAGATTGCGGCTGATAAGGAGGGAAACGGTGACTCGTTCAACCATTCACCTACCAGCACGGAGACCAACGATGGCCCTGACCGTTTGGACGAACAACCGCCTCGCAATCCAAAGGACCCCGCTAAGCGTGGCACTACAAAGAAAGCTCCAGAGGTTGCCAGCCACCAGCAGCGCATTGATAAACTCAAGCGCATCCGTGATAGAGCCTCAAATGCTAAGCGCGAAACAAAGAAGGCTAAGAAGGAGGCTGCTGCGAGCGCTCAAGAGCAAGCAATGCTATCGTTTTTCGCGATACTTCGAGTTCAAGCTAGAAGAAGCGAAAGAGGCGACGAAACAAGCGCAAAAGGCTGCTAAAAAGGCGAAGAAAGCTGCCAAAAAGCGCAACCCGCGCGTTCATCGGAGGTGGAAGCGCTAAAGGTGTCCGTGGGCGAGGATTTGCTTGAGGATTAGTGGTCGCACGGTCTGTGGGTCTGGTGCTCGAGCGTGGCCGATCATGACCATGACATGCGTGATACATCCCGAGTTTAGGTGAGTTAAGCCCAACCTACGTTTAGCTATTTGAAATGCATTTACTCAGTCTGGTAAAACGTTTTGCTGATTCACTACAAAACTGCCATGTTCGCATCATCCCAATGTTCCTTCACCTCATTTCTTTCTGCTACTTATTCCATGGAAGCGTCGCCATCTTCGCCGGGTAAACCAGAATCATCTGAACCAGTCGCACTGGACGTGTCGGTGCTATCGGAACTCTCCGGATCAGCAAGTGATGGGGTGCAGGCATCTTCCTCCCCCATTTCTTCGGGAGAATACTCCGTGTCCTCAGCTGCTGAAGCTGTCTCTCCAGCTCTCATTTCGACGTATTCATCCCAAATAGCGCGCGCCATCCAAGCTCTCCACTCATCACCACTCTCAAAATCAAACTCGATGATATCGTCACCACCTTCTTCATCATCGCTTTCTTCAAATGGGTCATCATCGTCGCGGCGCAAATCAGCCCCCATATCATCCACGCAATGGTCACGCAGAAAGTTGTGCACAAGGATGCATGCAAAGATAACAATTCGAATGTTCTTCAGCTTAAAGTCCATGCACGTTCGAAGCACTTTGAAGCGGAGCTTGAGAAGACCAATAACCCTCTCCACAATATTGCGTGTTTTGGCGTGACAAAGGTTAAAGACCTCTTTGCCGTTTTAAGGTCTTCCATTTGCACGCCGTGTCCACTATTTCAGGTGATAGCGAGCCCCACGAAAAGGCGTTAGCACCTTTTTAGACAGCGCATACCCAGCGTCACCCAAAAAGTAAAAGTCGTCAGGAACCTTGTCCAGCATTTTACTCCACCGAAGAACAGTAGAGTCATGGGCACTCCCGTCGGCTTCACGGTACGCGAACACCACCTTCATCCACCAATCGCACGCGATCAGTACATTAGTCAGTATCACGCCTTTGTGGTTCCGGAAACGCTTGACATCTTCACTTGCAACCACCACGCGAAAGTGCGTCCCGTCAATCGCCCCCAATGCCTGGTCAAAATAGGGGTGTTTGGCTGCAAAGGCTTTGGTCACCGACGTTGGGATCGCTAGACTGGAATTCAACGCTTGGACAATGGCTTGGACGCCTCGCAAAGGACGACAGAGTACGCCAGATCAAACAAAACATCCTGGGAACGGCACGTTGAAGCTGTACCCACCCAATGGAGGGCGACAGCCAAGACCTCTTGAGCGTCTCGAACAGTGTCAGCTATGCAGCTTACATAGTTCGAATAGCTCGTCAAACGCGTCGACGTCCATGCGGAAATGGTCACGAAACAGTCGACGATTCTGGGACTGATGAATCGCTTGAAAGAATCTCTGCCCATCCCGCGTAGTTAGCCCCAGTAACCGCAGCGCGTTCTCGTGTTCATCATGGCGTGAGGGGCGTTGGTCAAAGGCACCGATCGCAAAGAACATCGCTACGATTGCCTCGTCGATCTCGTCCAACCTTGTCGCTTGTGTTGGGTTGACTGTTTTTGGTAATAGTCACAAAACGTAGGAGATACCCTCGGTTTTACAACATAACTATTAGTGATCATTGAGGTCAGACCTTTATTTTGCAGCGAACACGAGAAAAGCATAATTCAATTTTGTTTTCCTTCCAAAACAACGGTCAACAAAACGCGATTTTAATTTTGCCTTTAAAATTGCGATTTTGACAAAATTACAACGATCGCGAACACGCCCCGAGAAAGCATTTGCATTTTCTACAAGCTGCAAAACAGATCTTAACCAGGGCTCGCATTTTTTATTTTGTAAAGCATTGCCGGTTGATAACCTGCATCTACAGCATTACTTTAGTAAGAAAAAACTCCAGGCAGATGCTGCGGCTGCGAAGCAGGCGCAGGAGATGACCGTAGCTAGTAAGAAAAGAAATGAAAAAAACTAAAAAAGAAGGGTTGTGCTCGTAACAAAAGTGAAAGAAAACGAGCGATGAAGTAAATTTGTGACGTAGAATGAGGTTGCCAAAACGGGTTGCCAAAACGGGTGACCAGCCTATACAAAATCCCTTATGATACTCTCAAGTAACAACCAAATTATGGTACTGTCAGTACTATTTTTCTCCGTAGAGGCAACAACGTCGAGTATGTAAATGTAGCATAGCCTGGACGAATGTGCGTCACAAATCTAAAATGTGATTTCAGGATGCACCCAGTATACAAAAAACAACAATTGCTAAAATTGAGGTCACTCACGCCCAAAACTAACTTAGGGCTACGCGCGGGCTGAGAAAGCAAAAATGACGTAAAACAGATAAACGCAGAGCGCGGTATTGCTTAGCACGTTGATGAGTGTTCGTAGCCGCCAGCATGAAGGAAAATGGCTCTCGGTTGAAGCAAAGCTCATTCTGATTGCGGAAAAAAATACTTCGAAGTATTATGGTGTGACTAATCAGTCTATTATTTCACAACATAGACTTTTGATCCCGAAGTTGAAGTTATCTTGAGCCCATGCGCATGCGATGAAGCGGAATCGATGGAGGAGCTATAGTTGTCGCGTTGATACGGATGGAGAACTCCGACGGATCAGCACTTGATTTGGAATGGCGGAAGTTGCCGACAGAGTACGAGAGGTGATGGCTGCTTTGCCGCGCTAAATGAAGCGCGTACAGCACGAGTTGAACACCACACGCCATATTTGGTTCTCTCCTCTCGCACTTGCTGCCATTGCAGGTTTGCAAAAGTCAAGATGGGCAGTACGTTGCCGTCCTACGAGGCAGCGATGCGAGACGCGAGAGAGTACCTGCGTCGTCGAGACCTGACGTCTCAGGACGAAATCCCGCTCTACTTTGCGTGGGAGCGACTGTACGCTGCCGCCAACGCCAACCTGAGCACGGACTTCTTGAACGAGACTCGAGCCGAGCTGCGTGCTCGCCAGCAAGCACGACTGATCCCACGTCAGGGTCTCCCACCCCTGCTCTTCACCTCGTTCGACAAGGTCAACCGCAAGTCGCTGCAGACGTCAGCTTTTCTCCGATCGGGTCTGTCGTCGGATGCGGCGATCGAGATGATGGCGCGTCGGTACAGTCGAGAGGCTGAGAAGTTACGCTCGTCAAGAGAAAAGTTGGTGGCGAGCTCTCTGGGTGGAGCAGGGAAGAGACTCAAGGAGGGCAAGCGGGGCAAGAAGACACCGCAACAGGAAGTGGACGAGCTACTCGAGGCTTTGGAGAGTCCAGGTTCACCGATGGGGAGCGATTTCGCGACTAGTACGCTCTCAAAGGACAGGTTGGGGGCTGGGTCGGACGATGGAGGAAAACGAGCGAAGAAAATCAACCGAAATCTCCCAAACCCTGAGCAAGAAGTGGAGGCGCTACTCGCAAAATTTGAGAACTCGAACACCGTGCGAAACCGGGTTAATGCGGTGAAACCCAAGGGCGAGGTGGACTTCTCGGGTGGCAAGGATTCTTTTGCGGGTGAGCTAGCGGGTGGGGATGCCGCGAAGTCAGCAGAACTTCGGCGATCGAGCTTCTCCATGGGGAATCCAGCTGCTGATCCGAGTGTTCTCAACGTGGAAGACGTCACTGCCTTCGCCGCTCAGGTGTCGGATTGGAGGATGCACCCCACGGCTGATACGGCTGCTTTGCCACCAAAGCTTGGTCACAACGGTTTAGCTTCAAATGGTTTAGCACCGACTACGAAGAGCACAAAGCGTGTCAATGGTGGGGGCAAGACGAGGAAATCTGGAGTGGCTGGAGGTGGCGAGGACGACACGACATTCGACACGGGTTTGGGGAGTTCTGGGTCTGATCAGGACCACTTCGATACCAACGGTTCGCTTCGCTCGAGTGCGGTCAGTACGTCACCCACTAGCAGACGCAGTACGGCTCACACAAGTGACTGGGTAGACGATGTCGACGAGAATGAACAGTTAGGTGACGAGCTAGGGGTTGTGCGTAATTCTGCTATGGATGAGATGCTGCAAGATCAACCTACCGTTGGTGGAGCCTCGAATTCGACGACACTCAATGCTCGGCCCGGGCAGCATGCCACTATGAGCACCTCAGGGGCTGAGCGGGGATCTGTCCAGCTTTCTCACGCTGTGGGGAATATGCAAGTGAAAATCAAGGGGAAAGAGATCGAAGTGACATTCAGAGGCTCACTCGATAACAGCAACAGTGACGAGAGTAGCAACACCGAACAACAGAGCGAGCGTATCAACCCGAGAGGACATCCGTTAGCAACTCAAAAAGTGTTTGGCACAATAGATGCCACAAGCAGTAGAGGCGGCGGCGAGGACGATGAGCACGACACGGCCGACCCGAAAGCTCAGATGCGTAATGCTGTTGATCAGAGCGACTTGAACTTACTGCGTAAACAGAGCAGTGTCAGATTCTCCGGTGTAGCAGACGACGACGTGGACGAGGGCACCAACGATGATGTAAGTCCCAGTCAAAATGAGCCGAAGCCGCTCGAAGCTCGCGACGCTCCGGTTGCAAGCCTACCAAGGCGACAAGAACTGCCCTCGCATCAGATCCGCACTGCTAGTACAGACAGCAGCGCCGCAAGTCAAGACGATTTGGATGAAGGCTCGTTGTATAACAATGGAGAGGCAGTCGAGCTGGATGCGCGCAGCAGCATGAAAAAGCCCCACAGACAGCAGGTCGATGTACACGATGCTCGTCTTCACGACAATGGTAATTCGCGACCTAGCACAAGTCGAAGTGGTCACCAGAATCCGACTGCGGGTGGTCGCAATGGGGTACTCCAGGAGGAGAGTCAGGGGCGACACCATATAGACTCAGACAGCCGAATCAAGCAGGTGTTAGTTGAAGACAGCGACAGTGGCAGCGACGAGGACTTTTCCGACGGACCAGACACTCCAGACCTTGAGTATCGCCATCACAAAAGCAAGCACGAATCTTCTCAACTGCAGCGACGAGCTCCTCACGACACTCGCGAATACGCCGATCATGGACGTAGTAGGCGTCCCTCTTCTAGACCGCCCTCGTCTCAACACGCAAGTTCACGCAACAAGCAGCGAAGTCACTCGACGGATTCCAGCAGTGACAGCAGCAGCGGCTACGACAGCCGAATCGAGGTGGAGAAGTCTGATCAGCGCCACCGTTCGGATACTGCAGAGCGTCCTCGATCCAGACACTCTAGTACTAGAGACCGCCAACGACCTAGTACTCGATATTCATCCATCGCCCTGCGCGATCGCGACCACTACCTCGCCGCAGCGATGGAATCACCTCCCAAACGGATCAAGCCAGAAATTCGAAGCAAAGAAACCAAGCAGACCAAGACGAAACACGACTCAAAGTCAAGCAAGTCCACGCCCAAACTTCCCGAGGGGATTGTGTGGCCACCTGGGATGGAGGCGGAGTGCATCGCTCGCCTCGGTTTGGATGGGCACCACCCGATCGCACCCCCAGGGCTGGAGCACCTCGTGACGGACGAGCAGTGGGGGGACTACTGGACGTGGCTGCACTGGTACTCGTCGTGGCAGATGTGGTACATGAAGAACGGCAAGAAGCCAAAGGGCAAATCGGACAAGGAGAAGCGACGTGGACGTCGACACACCGAGAGTGACGAATCTCTTGATACGGAGGCGGGTCGCTGCGATAACAAGTCGCAACGGAATAACAACAACGCCAATTGGTGGGTCGATGTCGGTTCAAGTAAGCGCCAGAGTCGTCGTCAAAGTCGAAGCTAACTCAATCGAATAGCGCATAGTCGTAAGCACCAAAAATGCTACGGATACGTGACTTGAATGACCTAGAACCACAGCGCAACACCAAAATATCTAACATAAGTCCACTATAACTTTAAGATCAGTCGAGTCTTACGGCTGCGAAGTTATATAAGTACAGTAGAGTCGCCTCCAAAAATACTGTCTTGTTGCCGCGGACATCTGCAGACTGATTGTGGATGGCTCATTGCTCTTCTGGGCGTTGTGCGAACGCTCCTCCAAGCACTCACGCTACTGTAGCCATGATCCCTGTGAGTGAAGTGAGCAACGAGGCGGAGGACGAACCGAAGCGCGATGACGAACCCGCTACCAGCCACCAAGCAGACGCAGACGCAGACGCGCCGTCGCCTGGCCCGGAAGAGCTAATGACCACGACTATCACCGACTGGGGGGCGGTGACCTTGAAGACTGGGTCAGTCGATACATTCGACGAAGGACGTCCGTCTGTGTATTGGCCAAGACGACACGGGTCACAGACCACTCGCCAGCCAGTCAAGAGGCGACTGCTTCGTCTTTCAGAGACTGTGGCCAGCTACCTCACTCGCGAACTCCCGTCCCAGCGCTCGCCTGAAGCCATCCGGTCCATCTCCTGGAGGGCGCGCGTCAACTTGTACCTCCAGCCCGGAAGAAACTTTGATCGGGTGGCGCCTCAACCAACTGATAATGCTCGTGCTGTTCGTGGATATCGCGATCATGACGAGCGAGACACTTGACGGACCGCGTCACGGAGGCACAGACCCGGACTTCCACTACATGCTCGACGACAGTTCGTACAATTCCATCGAGGGGTTATTCACAGTGACCTACTGTGTAGAGTTCGCGGCAAGGTGGCAGAGCGCACCGAGTCAAATCCAGCTCTGGAGGTTAATTTCTACGTGGGTGAGTCTACTGGCGGCAATCGCTGCTGTCCCCAAACTTGTCGGCGTCGCGATTAGCTCTGATACTTACCACGCAGACTCGCGCATGTACAATTTACGCATTCTTCGCGTCGTTCGACTGATGATTCTCTCACATGCGTTCATGGGAACGAAAGTACTCTTACGAGCCGCTCAGCACTCAATCGCACCTCTGAAGATCACGGTATGAATGCCGTCTACTTAAAAGCTGAGAAGCAGAGAAAAGCAGGTCGTTGTTTGAAATTGGTAGTAGTTGAATTGTTGCTCACTGTTGTGGTGTATTGTGGTAGTTTTTCTTCTTGATCACGGTGGTGATGGTGTTCGCCACTGCCATTTTCTATGCCGAGCCGTGCTACGACCTCCAAACGTGCACGTTTACCGACATCTTCAACACGGGCTACTTCGTCATGCTCACGTAAGTAAAAAAAAACACATTAAGTCAATAGCTGGAATATTTGAGGATCTCACGATTCGAATTTCTTTCTACAGCGTGGCGACCGTGGGTTATGGCAACCAAGTGCCTTCGATACACAACCCCGGTTCGCTGGTTCTCACGTGCATCGTCATGATCTTTGGCACGCTCTACCTCTCAATGCCCTTGGCGATTATCGGTATCAAGTACGACTTGGCATGGCGCGAATACGACGAGTTCGCGCGCAATAAAAAACTGGAGCAGCAGCGAAATCGCAATTTGAAAGAGATCGCCGCTGACATCGCAGCTGAGAACAGCAAGCAGACGTCTCCACATTCCAATTCCACCGTTCCTAACGCAGACGGCACTGACGCTACGCTGCAAAAGCTCGAGGTGCGCACTGTCAAGTACGTGAGCTCCGCCACTTGTGAGCGGTTCTACGAGCTCTTGAAGCACATTGTGGACTTTCACCTGGCCGTTCAGCCTCTCTTCTCCCCTGTCACCCTTGCCGAAGCTGCAACACTCGAGAGCATGTTGCAGTTTACAAAGCGCCGCAGTGAGGAAGCTTCGCAGGCTTTAGACGCGATCATAGCCGCCATAAAGCTCCATAAACGCGTCTGCGCAGACGCCCACTCCCTGTTGATAGCTCGGAAATCCACAGAGAGAGACACGGGATCGGAACGTCGAGCCAACTCCCGCCTCATGTCTGCAATTCGACGGGCCAGCAGGGAGCCCAGCACTGACTCAAGCGCGCCGAGTTCTTCAAAGCTGAGACGCGCGCATAGTAAGATCACGTCGTTGGGCTCTCGTGCCATTCAGTCAATGACCTAGAAGGAGCAACACGAAGATCCGCACACTTTACGCGCCATCATCTGGAGCATCTTCGACCACCGTCGGGACATTTGGCTGGCTCGCGTCGTGAACAAAGCTCGACTGTATCTCGTCGTACTCAGCATCGCTCTGTTCTACCTTCAAACGACTCCAGAGCTACAACATACTGGTCTTCGATCTGTCCTATGCCAACGCACAGTCCACGATTTCTGCCGGACACACGAAGAACCCGGCTGTTATGTTTTCAAAGTAGTCGGAGGATCGGGATCAAACCTCACGGTCCAAGTAACAATCGAGCCTCTGAACTTCCACTGCGCTATTGAAGCTGCAGACACGAACTGCTACGCGTCGGGGGTCAACTTTGGCTCACTGAACTTCCCTCTGTCTTGTGAGGAGGTCTTTGGGTCAGAGGTTGGGATAAAGGTGTGCAAGACCCGCATCTGCCAGACGTCGACCAGCACCATCTTCGACATTGAGCCATACTGGATCTACTTCGAGTTCTTCTTCGGCATTTTATTCACGGTTGAGTTCATCCTACGGGTGTACGCGCATCCGGCTCGACGGCAGCTAGTGGGGAACTTCAGTGCTATTGTGGACGTGATCATCCTCCTACCGTTCTACGTCGAAATTATCGAGATCTGTATCGACGAGATGCCGACGTACTCGATCGTGCCGACGATTCCGTCCTTCTTCAGTCCTCAAAACCTTTCGTATCCTTAAGCTGGGCACGCACATCCCAGGAGCTCGTGTACTCACGAAGACGGCTGAGTTGGTGTGGCGACAACTTGTGATCCCGGTAAGACCTTACAACGCTGCAAAGTCGGCAACTATCTCCTAATATTTTGGGTTGTTTTCTTGCAGCTCTTCTTCCTGTTCATGGGTAGTGTAGTGTCCGCGGCCATATTCTTCGAGCTTGAGCGGGGCACCGAGTGCTTTGTTGGCAATACGTGCATGTGGTGGGACAAGAACGTCTTGACTCGGGAGCTATCAGAACGTCTTCCAACGGGTAAACGGGTCCTTGTACAGAATACGCTTCTTACCCTTTTTACCGACATGCTGCGCTCGACCTGGTTCTCCCTCGTGAGCTTCACGACGGTCGGCTATGGTGATTTGTATACACGCACATCGCTCGGCAAGCTTGCAGACGCTGTTGGGGCGATTTTCAGTGCCTGCTACACGGCGATGCCGCTTACTTTGGTGGGTGGGCAGTTCTACATATGCTACGAAGTGTACGCCAAAGAGGAGAAGAGGCTGAAGGTGAGGGAGGTCCAAACAAATATTGGATGTGTGACCTCAAGAGCTAATTGCATCGCCTCGCTAGCTGTGCCTGCTACTCACGAGCCGTCACCACCATCTCCACCAAGGCTGTCATCAAGGACAGCGTCCAGAGTGGATGCGGTGCAGGGAGAGAAGCCAATTTCGTCACAACACACCGCCGAGTCGACGGAGTTGCAGATGATCAACCACTTTTTCCTCATGCACAAGGTGTTCAACGAGGTGATCGAAGATCTGAGCTCACTCAATCGACTTAGCACCGAGCGCGTTGCCAGTGCACGAAAGGGGTCGTTTGGTTCAGGATCAGAGTCGACTGCGACGAAGCTAGCTGATGTGAGGCAGCGCGAACAAACGGTCGAGGCCAAGATCTCGACCAACATGGTCTTCTGCATGGTACGAAACCCTCAATAACTATGATACGACCGTGCAAAGCTTAGACATTAACGTCGTTGTCCCTATGCAGACGGCGTACTTGAACTTCGCGTCGATGATCGAGCGCATTCTCGGAACGAAAGCAAAGCGGACGCTGCGACTCCATAACGCACACACCGACGCACTGCTGCCAGCGAGTGAGTTGCTGCGCGTGAGCAATGACCACGAAAGCGGGAACTATAGCGATGTCGTCGATAGTGACGAGGTTCAGATTGAACCAGGAGTCAATACCTGAGCATTAGATCAACTAATACACTCAAACAACTTATGCCCCTGATAGAGTTCGAAACTACAGGTGCCCAATGATGGTGTCACGTAAAGAATGTACGCTGTGGTGAACATAATAGTAACAGTGTAGCTTTGATGAGGTTATTGATCTATTGCATGGACGTCGTTTATCTGCTTCTTTCGTTAGCGCTGCGTTATCGTTCCCCATTACAGGTTTGAGCCCCGATTTGCAGTACAGCCATAGCACGTTTGAGCGAAGCCATAAAGACTCTATGATAGAGTTCGGTACTGCGGGCTCGGACTCGACAAGTAGCTGCTGTTTCCCTACGAATGAGCCGCGCGAAGGTCGAAGTTCGTGTTGTGAAATGTTCAGAGTTCTGTGAACGCTTAAAGCCGACCGCTCTATTCGTTCTCTCTCTTGAGACAGTCTGTCACTCACTCGAAAACGAACGAAAATAACCAGCATGCCCGCCCAAGCCAAAATGGGAATGCCAGAGTTGGTTTCGCGGTTCCAAGTGGGCGGGCTAGACTCTCAATTCTGCTTGCTCAACTGGTGACGAGAGCGCGGGGCTCACGGCACTCCTGTTTCAGTACGGATTCCGCGTATGAGCCATGCTGCACGTGAGGGACGTCACCGAGGAGAGGACCTGGAGCGAGGAACAGGAGGAAGATGACGAAGTCCACAGTCTACCGACGGATGGGGCTGCAGGTCCAGCTAAAGAAGATATGCCAGAGGCTCCACCGGATGACACCAACGACGACAACGTAACGTTAGATGAACCCCCACTCGTCGGCCCTCCAGCATCTCTAACTGTGGCTCACTCTACCACAACGACAATTATCAAGCACCAAGACTCGGAAAACTCTCGAAGTCGCCCCAAATTGTCTGGAAGAGGCGGAAGACGAATGCTGCGTCGAATTCGGAGAGCACTGGCTAAACTATTCGCTCACGACCTCCCGCTGGTACGTGCACCCGAGAGGATCCGTGCCATGCCCTTGAGGGCACGAATTAACTTTTTTCTTTCGAACCCGGAGGAGTCAAATATCGGCTGGCGACTGCAGCAGCTTCTAATGGTGCTTCTGTTTATCAACGTGTGCGCAATGGCGAGTGAGACGGTTGATGGACCGCGCTTCGGTAGCTCTGATCCTGGATATCCCTATATGCCGGGCGATAGCACGTTCATCGCTGTTGAAGTACTGTTCTCGTTATTTTTTGTCTTCGAGTTCGTCGCACGATGGGTAACTGCACCTAGTCAGTCCCAGTTCTGGAGATCAGTCTCGACGTGGATAACACTCTTAGCGGCGATAGCTGCATTGCCCAGACTTTTATTACTCGCGGCGGGGGCGGACACTGAGTTTGCAGATGCGTTCATGTTCAACTTGCGCATCTTGCGCGCTATCCGGCTTATTGTCCTAGCCTACGTGTATGTGGGGACGAAGGTGCTGTTCCAGGCAGCGGTAAATTCCATCGCTCCACTGACGATTACGGTACGGTAACTCTTACCCTACCATTAATGCTCGATCGTTGCTACTAACAACCCTCTTCACCGGTATGACAGCTTTTCTTTTTGGTCACGGTTGTGATGGTGTTTGCCACCGCCATTTTCTATGCTGAACCGTGTTATGACCTGAAAACATGCACCTTTACGGATATTCTAAACACCGGCTACTTCGTCATGCTCACGTACGTGCTTTTAAAAGATGGGGGCGTAGCTAGAGTTCTAATTGACGTCGAATTTGAATTATTTTAGGGTTGCAACAGTGGGCTACGGGAGCCAAGTGCCATCGCTTCACAATGCTGGATCGCTGATACTCGTGTGCATTGTTATGATTTTTGGAACGGTCTACTTTTCGATGCCGCTCGCAATTATCGGTGTCAAGTACGAACTGGCGTGGGCCGAATACGAAGAATATGCTGAGAATTTAAAGCTGCCGCAGCAGAACCAACCGCAACGCGAGAAGAAGCGCACTTCTAAGCTTTCCGCGGACATGTCCCGACGGCAGATTATTAACGCTCTTGCTGGAAGAAATGACGACGACGAATTGGAGAAAATTGAGGCGCATACCATGAAATACGCGAGCTCGAACACGTGCGATCGGTTCTACCAGTTGTCGCAGTCGATTTTGGAAGTGAATGCCTCACTTCAACACATAGTCTGCCCCCCTGCGGCTGCGACTGATATTCCGACGACTCTGGAGGCTGTGATTCAAAGCACTAAGCGACGTAGTGACGAGGCTTCTCATGCTTTAGATGGCATTATGTCGGTCATTAAACTCCACACTCGCGTGTGCTCAGAAGCGCACGAATTGTTGTTGGCGTTAAAATCCCCATTACCAGAACACGAGACGGACCTGGATCGATATTTGTCTAGCGGCTTGCTCACCAGCAAAGGCACGCACACTTTTGGCTCTCACAGTATATCTCGAATTAATCGCGCTAAGGGAGCGCTCGTAGCATTAGGTGCTAAAGCTGTGAAGGCAATCTCACATCACGACCACCACGTGGACCCAAAGAGCTTGCGGGCGGAGATTTGGAACGTTTTCGAGTACCGTCACGACACGCCAATAGCTCGTGCTGTGAACAAAGTCCGCATGTACACCATCGTGCTCAGTATCGCCGTGTTTTACTTGCAGACTACCTCGGAGCTTCAGAACACAGGAGTACGGACATTTCTGTGCCAGCGCAACGTTCATGCATTCTGCGATAGATACGATGATCCGGGGTGTTATGTGTTCAAGGAAGTATCAGGGACGGGATCCGGATTATCGGTCGAAGTGACAGAGCAGATTGTTGATTTCGACTGCGAGATTGGGGATCCAGATGAGACCTGCTATGCTTCGGGTGTGAACTTTGGCTCGAAGAATTTCCCAGTATCATGCAGTGACGTTTTCCCGTCGGGTCCTGGCATTACCTACGTATGCAATAGTCGACTTTGCAACCCCCCGGTGCAGTTCATGTTCGACATGGAGCCCTACTGGATCTACTTCGAGTTTCTGTTTGGATTTTTGTTCACGGTTGAGGTGGCGTTGCGCGTGTACGCCCACCCAGTGAGACGTCTTATTTGGGCGGATTTGAAAGTGCTTGCGAGTATCCTCATTTTGATCCCGTTCTACGTCGAGGTGGTCGAGATCATGATCGGAGAGTGGCCGACGTACTCGGTCATACCAACATTGCCCTCATTTTTCTCGATGGTTCGGTTCCTCAAGAGCCTTCGTATTCTCAAGCTTGGCTCTCACATTCCCGGGTCACGTGTGCTGATTAGGACGGCGCAGCTTACGGTGGAACGGATTGTAATCCCGGTAGGATCTCTTTTTTTCTTAACTCAAGTGGCTGCGCGTTTTTTAACCCTTGTTTATATTGTAGCTTTTCTTCCTGTTCTTGGGTTGTGTGGTCTCTGCAGCCGTTTTCTTCGAGCTTGAGCGCGGTACCGAATGTTTTGTGGGGAAGAGCTGCATGTGGTGGAGCAAGAACGTCTTAACTGCCGAGATGTCGGAAGGATTGCCCATCGGCAAGCGCATCTGCGTTCAAAACACCCTCGTCACTATGATGACGGATATGCTGCACTCGACGTGGTTCTCGCTCGTAAGCTTCACTACTGTCGGCTATGGAGATCTGTATCCGCGCACATCGCTGGGGAAAATGGTCGATATCATCGGCGTGATCTTCAGTTCGTGCTACACCGCTATGCCGCTCACGCTGGTCGGTGGCCAGTTCTACATTTGCTACGAGCTGTACGCGCAGGAAAAGATGCTCAAAAAGGTAAGTTTTCTGTTGGTAGTCGTGAATGAGAGCACCTCTCAACTAAGGTGGTATCTTATTGAATTACTCAGCGACGAGCTCAAAAGCAGATCAAGCCGGACGAGTCTTCTGCAATTGTTCGGAGTCTGATGCACGCGTTCCCCAGCACGCGTGATATGTCTGAGAAGATTGAGGAGGACATGCCATCTGAGTCCACACAGGAAGACCAAGCTAGAACGGACTCACAAGCTGTGATCGACCCAGTCGAGACCTTTCGACTCCCTTCACTCTCGACTCGAACGGTGTCAGCATCCTCGGCACCCTCGACGGATCGCGGGGAGGACCCCGCGTCAAAGCAGCACTACACGCACTCGACTGAGATCCAGATCATCAACCACTTCTTTCTCATGCAGAAGGTCTTTAACGAGGCGATCAAGGACATCAGTCTGCTCAACCGACTGGGCATCGAGCGCGTCAACATCATGCGCAAGAACTCGAGCGAAGCTGCCGCCCTGCTCGCCGACAGGAGAGAGCGCGAGATGGTGGTGGAGGCCAAACTGTCCGAGAACATGGACTTTTGTGTGGTACGCTATTACTCTGCCTTGTATTTGTGAAGAACTACACAACTAACTCGGTTTATGACTTTGATAGACTGCGTGCTTGAACTTTGCGGCGATAATCGACCGCACGCTTGGGACGCAACGGAAGAGAAGCAAATCTCAGCGACCGTCGATCATCCAGACCAACGCGCTGCTTGCAGTCGCTGAGGGGACGGCCGAGCTGCTGCAGAAGAAGTCGTCCAAGGCCCCCTCGGTTCGCAAGAAAACAGTGACTGCTGCTGACATGGCCCCAGACTCGAACGAGTCGGTGGGTGTTCGTTCGAAGCGCAATTCGCTCAAGAGGATCGCCACGCTCTCAAAGATCTTCGTCGGGCCGATCCTACACAAAGGAGACCACCACAAGTCTCCGAAATGGGCAGAATACACCAACAAGAAGAACGAACACGAAGAGTCCATACCTGAATAGCAAGTGTGTAGAATAGGAGTGGGAAGCAAGACGGGCAGTGAGAAGCACTGCGTCTTGAGTTTTGATCGTGTACTTACGCCATACAAAATTGCTGTTCGATCCTTAAAATTCTTCTGTGACTTGGTTCGTTGCGATCGTCAGCGAAATGGCCAGCGCGAAGTAGAAGCGTCCTTGCTGCATCACAGCTCTACAGACCGGCAGCTGGTGGTGATGATCTCTGGGGACTGTCGATAACTTTACCTGGAGTGTGTACTTAGTACTCCTCGCCAAACTCCTCGTCGTCGCCCTCGGCCGTCTCGGCCGACACCTCCTCGTAGTCCTTCTCGAGCGCGGCCAGGTCCTCGCGAGCCTCCGAGAACTCGCCCTCCTCCATGCCCTCGCCCACGAACCAGTGCACGAACGCGCGCTTCGCGTACATCAGGTCGAACTTGTGGTCGATGCGCGAGAACACCTCCGCGATCGCGCTCGTGTTCGAGATCATGGCCACGGCGCGCTGCACACGGGCCAGGTCGCCGCCCGGCACCACCGACGGCGGCTGGTAGTTGATGCCGCACTTGAAGCCCGTCGGGCACCAGTCCACGAACTGGATCGTGCGCTTCGTCTTGATCGTCGCCACGGCCGCGTTCACGTCCTTCGGCACCACGTCGCCGCGGTACATCAGACACGCCGCCATGTACTTGCCGTGGCGCGGGTCGCACTTGGCCATCATCGACGTCGGCTCGAACGCACTGTTGGTGATCTCGGCCACCGACAGCTGCTCGTGGTACGCCTTTTCGGCCGAGATCACGGGCGCGTACGAGCTCAGCATAAAGTGGATGCGCGGGTACGGCACCAGGTTCGTCTGGAACTCGGTGATGTCCACGTTCAGCGAGCCGTCGAAGCGCAGCGACGTCGTCAGCGACGAGATCACCTGCGCGATCAGGCGGTTCAGGTTCGTGTACGTCGGGCGCTCGATGTCCAGCGAGCGGCGGCAGATGTCGTAGATGGCCTCGTTGTCCAGCATGATGGCCACGTCCGTATGCTCCAGCAGCGCGTGCGTCGACAGCACCGAGTTGTACGGCTCCACCACGGCCGACGACACCAGCGGCGACGGGTAGATCGTGAAGCCCAGCTTGCTCTTGCGGCCGTAGTCCACCGACAGGCGCTCCAGCAGCAGCGAGCCCAGTCCGGAGCCGGTGCCGCCGCCCACGGCGTTGAACACCATGAAGCCCTGCAGGCCCGTGCACGCGTCCGCCAGCTTGCGCACGCGGTCCAGCACCAGGTCCACCACCTCCTTGCCGATCGTGTAGTGGCCGCGCGCGTAGTTGTTGGCGGCGTCCTCCTTGCCCGAGATGATCTGCTCCGGGTGGTACAGCTGACGATAAGTGCCCGTGCGCACCTCGTCACACACCGTCGGCTCCAGGTCCACGAACACGGCGCGCGGCACGTGCTTGCCCGAGCCCGTCTCGGAGAAGAAGGTCGAGAACGAGTCGTCGCCGCCGCCCACGGTCTTGTCGCTGGGCATGGTGCCGTCGGGCTGGATGCCGTGCTCCAGGCAGTAGAGCTCCCAGCAGGAGTTGCCCGTCTGGATGCCGCCCTGGCCCAAGTGGATGGACAGGATCTCGCGCATTGTTTGTTGACTGTGGCTGCTGCTGTTGGCTGCGGAGAGTGTTGGTCGCTGGCTGCCTTGGACTTGCGCACTCGGGGGTGGATTCGATAGTGAGCTGGGAAAGGCATCGGACCCACGTGGTCGGCTACAGCCACCGAACGAATAAGGGTGGGAAAATGATGGGCGAACTTTCTTTCGCGCCAACATGCCAGATGGCTTGGCGAGGCTTCGAGCTGAGGAGGTCAGGCTACCGCTTGGCAGCGCCAGACTCTTATGTTGTTGGCACCTGCAGGGCAGGGCTGGTGGTGGCACTTGCACATGTAGTACAACAAGTGTGTTGAAGGTTAAGAAGAGAGCATCAACCCATCTTGACACGTGGGCCCTTAGACGAGCAAGTCCCTAAATCTCGAAGCGAGCTCGCTACGAACATCCTATTAATACTAGTTGTGCTAGGTAGCTCTTAGCATTCTGCATGGAGCTCGGTGGTTCCGGTGCGGCAAAGGAAATCACAACGGGTATCCTCACTTAGGAGGCATTCGGTGTTGAAGACTGTATCAGCTGGTGGCGGGATGCTGTACCACGAAAACGGATCAGCATCCAGCGTACCGCCGAAACGGTATGCCTGTCCACAGGAAATCAGTGTGTCCACACGAGATTCAGCCCGCATGCGACGTGTGAAACGCCGTCCAAGGGATCACCTGCCACCCCACTTGAAGCCGGAACGGCGAGATGGACCCCAGGCACGCCACTGACCTGGCGGTTGCATTTCTCAATCGGCCACGCAGGCGTCCAGTCCGTCAGTCGGCCAGCCCATTGACGAGCTCCACCCACAGATCCGTCCATGGCCGCCAGCTTCAGCGACGAGCGCTCGCCGCTGCTGCCCTCGGGTGTCTCGCAGCGCATCGGCCGCCGCACGCGCCTCCTCGTGAGCGGCCTGGCGCTGCTGCTGCTGTTCGCAGGCGCCGTGAGCTGCATTGCGATCGTGCTGCGGCTGCTGAAGGGGTCGGCGCATGTAGCTGCGCCGTCGGTGATCACGCCGCTGGTGCTGGAGGAAGAGGTAAAGACGCGTCGACGGTCGAATCTGCGCGTGGTCGTAAGAGGGTCTTGATCCGGTGCTTACATTGGGTGTGACTGTGTGCTGCAGTTCGATGCCATTGTGATCGGCGGTGGACCGGCGGGCTCCGTGGTGTCCAAGCTGCTGAGCGACGATCCCTGGCGGCGCGTGCTACTGATCGAGGCGGGCAACGCGTCACAGACGGAGTTGGGTGGCAAGGTGAGGGAGGAGGAGAAGGTTGGTGCAAGGAGGGTGAAAGCTAATGGTACTGATGATCTTGGTTATTGACTGCAGGAGGCGATTGCGTCGCCACTGAATGCCAAGGCCTTGACGCCGTTCGACGTGCCGTTCTACTGGACCAACGTGGCCAACACGCCGTCGCTGCATTGGGCGTACCCGGACGTGAATGTGGCCAAGGCGCTGGGCGGCTGTGGGATCCACAACGCCATGCTCTACGGTGGGTTGCGACGTCCGCTGTGTAGTTTACGTGACAATGGATGAGGGCTAACGTGTGGTCTGTGGGTTTAGTGCGAGCGCTGCCATCGGATCTGGAGCGGTGGCAGATGGACAAGTGGACGTGGGAGGAGGCGCTGGACATCTACATGACGATCGAGGACTTCGACGGACCCAACTCGAGCTACCACAGCACTCAAGGGTTTCTCCGCACCAGTCCACCTGCAGTGGAGACGGCGCTGTCCAACGAGTTCATTGAGGCGTGCGAGGAGTTGGGCATCCCACGGACAGCGGACTTCAATGCACCCGGTGGGCGGTATGGGGCTGGGTACTACCACTTCAACACCCGCGACGGTGTGCGCGAGAGTGCCGCCAAGGCGTTTCTTGGGCCGATGCTGGACACCAAGACGGGCAAGTCCACCAAGAGCAATTTCCGCCTGATGCTCGACACGACCGTAACGGTGAGTGCACTCGCTGTATCTTCCCCACGAACGTTGCCAGCACATATTCTGACTTGTTTAATATTGTTGTCATGACATCAGAGAATCCGGATCAACGATAATAACGTGACGGAAGGTGTGGAAGTTCGATACAGCAACGGCACGGCGCAGCTCATTCGTCTCGCAAAGCATGGGGAAGTCATCGTTACAGCGGGAGCGATCAACACGCCCAAGATTCTGATGCTGTCTGGACTCGGGAATCGCGACACGCTCGAGAAAGTGGATCTTCCTGTGAAGAAGCACCTGCCGCGCGTTGGGATGAACCTGCAAGACCACCCTGTCATTGGAATGACGTTCGAGTGCGAGTTACCCCGAGCCGTCGATCTCAAGTAAGTCAGTCCTGCACTGCCTATCGCTTTGACGCCAGGATTCTGACGATGTTGTCGTACATGATGAAGGGCGGAGTTGGACTCGTATTTCAAAGCCACCAACACAAAGCACACCAATGCGTCCAGCTTTGGTCTATTTGGCTCGGCCGGCATTAGTGTTGGGGCGTTTCTGATCCCCCCAGGCTCGACCATACCTGAAATCCAGCTCACACTGTTCCCACGCAAGTCCGAGCCACATATGTCGAACAGCGCGGAGCTCAATCACGTGACGGAGGTGATCATCACGATTGCGCTGCTTCACCCGCTTGCGCGCAATCGCGTGGTGCTCGTTCACGACGAAGATGCTTCCGTCGACGGCAACGACATCGATGACCACTTAATCCCGCGCGTTGTCTCGGAGGTGCCGGAGCACAAGCCTGAACACCTTCGAGCAGGTGACGTCTGGAAGATCACGTGGGCCATTGGCGTGGTTCGAGAAATTGCAGCAATACTAGGTAAGGCGGACCGAGTGTGTTTGGTACTAAAGTGTGCTTGAGATACTAACATCAATGCCTTGAATGCTGTATTAGACGAGAAGGACCTGATCGGGAAGGAAATCACCCCAGGCGCCGACGTCACTTCCTCGAAAGGTATGCTATACGCTATACAAAAAGTTTGAGTAGTATGAGTTCACGCCCTGACGGAAATGTGCGTTGTGTATGCTAGATCTGGAGGAGTGGGTACTCAACTCGGTGTTTAGAAATACGCATTGGGTTGGCAGTGCGTCCATGGCGACGTCAGAGGACGAGGGTGTCGTGGACAACCATTTGCGCGTCTTCGGCGTCAAGAGTCTACGCGTAGCTGACGCGTCTGTCATCCCTCTCATCCCGAACGGCAACGTGCACTCGTCGGTGGTGATGGTAGCAAACCGTGCCGCACAGATTCTGCGTGAAGATGAAGCAGACTACCGACGGCGCCACGCGCCACATGCTGCGTAGAAGTACCAATGGCGTGCCAACGCATTATTTTGCCAGCTATAACTATGAGTAAGCTTACGCATTTAATCTATCGACAGCCGTATTTCTAGCAGGCAGCAATCGAAAACTGTGTTGTGAGTCCCAACCAGAATTAGCAGAGCCATGGTCGAGAAACCAATGGTCCATGGCTTGCCTGAACCGCCTTCAAACAAGTTCGTGGGTCTTTCATTCTGCGCGTTCGCTTACTGGTGGGTGGTTCTCTTTGGCGTCCACCTCCTAACGTTCGTCTACAACGCGTGCTTTGCGAAATTCTACTGGGGCTTCGATTCAACACTTCTGAGCTATGTGCTCGAGCTTTACATCATTGGAATCCCCGAGAGAAGTTTCGTATTATCGCTCTTGTGTACATGATCCTGGCTGGTATACACGGAGCATGTGCCCTGCACATGCTTGTCAGCTTATGCTGGCATCGGCCATCATGTGGCATGGAAACTGGACAATCCAAGAAATCGAGCAACAACCTGACCAAGGGAGGCATAAAATCTAAAGTCAAGCAGACTTGCTGTGCGCGGGTGTTTGGGTGGATATACCGTGCCTTCCAGCGTTGGAGCGAACTCTTTGGTGTAAATGGAAGCTACTTCCACACCTCCATCATTTGCCGAGAAGTCCTTGAGACCGTTCTCCAGACCATGCAGGCATTTCGTATGAGCGTCCATCTACCCGACACTCGCCTCAACGGCTTCTACGTCGGGCTACTTGTTATCAACTGCTGGTCGTCCTTGGTTATCCATTCTCGTTGGTTCTCGCGCGATGAAGCCCGACGTCGCTTTGCGTTGCTTGTGTCTGACTGCGCATTGGATCTCATGTCGACGGTGGGTGTGTCGACAGCGATTGTACTACGTTACGTCGGTGAATTGGAGCTTACCGCTGAGGGATTTCAGTTTGATAGACTGGGAGATGATGACAGGCTAGCACAGATGCTGACTGAAACGCAGCTAGTTCTCGTAGCGTCTTGGACTGATTTGGCAATGCGCAGCATTTTCTCGCTTAGTCTCGCCATGACTATCACAAACATGAAGGAACTGATACGCTACTCGCCAGCAAGCAAGATCCAAGTGCAGGCCGTCAGAGCTTGCAGCGACACAGAAGTTGATGGGCTACGAGCTACTCCACTACTATCGCAACAGCCACAACGCATAGTCAAAGTTTTAACCAAGCCGGCGTCGGAAGCACAAGCACCTTTTCATCACGCTGTACATATTGCGTTCGCTGTGTGGGGCGCTGTTTTACTGGCTTTGCATGTGTATGCAACTACGAAGACACCACTAAGCATGTGCATGCCCAAAGTGCATCCTCTGGCAGGGACGCTACCTTCGTGCTTCATGGTGAACTTTAACTGCCATTACCTTGGGATCACGGCCACTAATGAAGAAGTACACCGTGAATGGAGTAAACTTGATCGTGCAACCGCTGTGAAGCTTCGTGTGCTGCATTGCCCAGCGTTCGAAATGCCCGAAAGTTTTCGTGAATTCTCTCAGCTGCAAGAAATCCAAGTGTACAACTCCACAATAGCAGGCTGGGGGTTGGAAGCTGCCGTCACGAACAGTAGCCACCCGAAAGTACTCTCTTTGACTGCAGCTCGCGTGAACATGACGAATGGACTCCTCCCACGTGGTTTGCAGTCACCAGACTTTCCCAATAGTCTCAGTCAGATCGTTTTCTGCGAGACTAATCTCTGCGAGCTACCAAGTGATATTGATACAATATGGCGCGCCCACTCGAGCATCTACATGGAGAACAGCAAATTAACTTCTGTCCCGCCCGCACTTACCCGATTACAGCCGTATTATCTGGCACTGAGCGGAAATTCCATCACAGAGGTACCATCGGAGCTGTTCGAAGTAAATGGTCTATTGCGCATTGGTCTTGGACGCACAAACATCAGTGTTGTACCTCAAAATGTGCTTCACCCGACGACAAGTGCCCCCATTATCGATGTTACGCAAACTTCCGTGTCATTCTTCTGGGCGTGGATGGACCTGATTCTCCAACCAAATCCAGGTTATCCGCCAAAACTGTTAGCTGGTGGGTCCCCATATTGCTCTGACCTCGACAGAATCATGATTGGAGTTTCAAAGACCTTCAGCGAACCATTTTCAGCTCAGTTTTCCCCACTGCTGATGAATTCATCCGAGGCAAATTGGGTCTTCCTTAGCCAGGTTGTTGACTGCACTCCACCATCCAGACCCACAGATTTCCCGCTCGATGATTGGGATCAATTTTACCGTCTCGTGAACGAATGATACAAAACTAGATTCATTTTATCTGTGTAACACACGTTTAGTTCTTAGCGTCCATTGTTTTCGTATGCAAATACAAAAGTTTTCTGTGGCGAGCTGCACACCAGAATTAGCGCTTGCGATGCTGAAGTAACCTCTTGGTAAATCAATGGTGCACGACTGCTGGCACGAGCCCCCTTCACAGAGTTCGTGGCCCTTTCGTTTTGCGCGTTCGCCTTCTGCTGGCTGCTTCTCTTTGGCGTCCATCTCCTTACGTGTGTGTACAATGCGTGCTTCGCGAAACTCTACTGGGGCTTCGATTCGACAGTTTTGAGCTACGTACTCGAGACCTATGGATACAACGTCGGAATCCTGCGAGAGCATTTTCGTAGTATTGCTTTCGTGCACGCGATCTTGGCCGCTACGCTCGGCGCATGCGCTCTACACATGGTGATCGGTTTGTGCTGGCATCGGCCTTCGTCATGCTTTACTATACCTGGTCGTTGTATTAAATCCAGCAGCAACGCGAGCAAGGAAAACATCAAGTCTAGAGCCCAACACACCTGTTATGCTCGGGTACTTGGGTGGATATACCGTGCAGTTCATCGATGGCGTGGATTGTTTGGTGTGAACGGAAGATACTTCCACGGTGCCGTCATTAGTCGAGAGGTCCTGGAGACCGTTCTTCAGACTATACAAGCATTTCGTGTGAGCAAATATCTTGCAGACACTCGCCTCAACGGGTTCTACATCGTTTGCTGGTGTTCAATTGTTGGTCGTCCTTGATTGTCCATTCTCGCTGGTTCTGGCGCGATGAGGCCCGGTGTCGGTTTGCATTGCTCGTGTCCGACTGCGAGTTGGATCTCATGTGTGTCGACAGTGATTTTACTGCGCAATATGGGCGAGCTCGACTCCACCACGGACAACTTCCGGGGTGACATTCTGAACGACGACGACTTGCTAGCACAGATGCTGACCGAGCTGCAGCTCGTTCTGGTAGCTTCATGGATGGATCTGGCGGTGCGCATTATTTTCTCGCTTGGCCTTGTCATGGCCATCGCAGATATGATGGAACTGATACGCTACATCCCAATGAGCAAAAATCCAAGTGGATGTTGTCGGACCGATAGATACAGAAGTTGGGGATAAACGAACTACCACGCTATTACCACCATACCACACCGGGTGCCATTCTCAAATTCCCTCAAGCAAGAAGACCACGGAAGCGCGAAGCCTCTCACATAAAGTTCTCCCCGCTATCCATCTTGCATTTGCTGTGTGGGGTGCTGTTTTACTGGCTTTGCATGTGTATGCAGCTACGAAGACACCAATAAGCATGTGCATGCCCAAAGTGCATCCTCTGGCAGGGACGCTACCTTCGTGCTTCATGGTGAACTTTAACTGCCATTACCTTGGGGTCACGGCCACTAATGAAGAAGTACACCGTGAATGGAGTAAACTTGATCGTGCAACCGCTGTGAAGCTTCGTGTGTTGCATTGCCCAGCGTTCGAAATGCCTGGAAGTTTTCAAGATTTCTTCAGGCTGCAAGAAATCCAAGTATACAACTCCACAATAGCAGGCTGGGGAGCGGAAGATGCCTGCACAAATACAAGCCACTCTAAGCTATTCTCCTTCTCGGTGATTCGGGTCAACATGACCAATGGGCTCCTCCCACTCGGTTTGCAATCGTCCGATTTCCCGATGTGCCTGATTCAAATCGTTTTCTGTGAGACGAATCTTCGCGAGCTGCCAAATGATCTCGATACAAAATGGAGCACTAGATCGAGTATCTACGTGGAAAACAGCAACTTAACTTCTGTCCCGTCCTCTATTATCCGATTACAGCCGTACGATCTGGCGTTGGGCGGAAACCATATCACTGAGCTTCCACCGGAGCTGTTTGAAGTGGAGGGTCTGCTGCGCCTTGGTCTTGGACAAACAGTAGCGTCTTACCTCAGAATGTGCTCCACCCAACGACGAGTGCTCCTATTATCGATCTTACACAAACCTCCGTATCATTTTTTCCGCCGTGGATGGACCTTCTTCTCCAACCAGATCCAGACTACCCACCAAAACTGCTAGCTTGGGGCCATATTGCTCTGATCTCGAGAGAATTATGACCGGAGTCTCGGACACCTTGAGCGAACAATGGTTACCGGAATACTCCGCACTGTTGATGAATTCGTCCGTTAAGAGATTTGGCCCTTCCTTCTCCAGGTTGTCGACTGCAATCCGCCGCCTACACTGACAGATTTCCCTCTACAAGATTGGGATCGTTTGTACAGTCTTGCCAATAGCTGACGTAGTTGGTATGCATACTATAACAATTAACATGGAGCCATAATCTTCTCAACGCTCTATGTCGCCTTCGGCTTCCTTTGACAGCGCCGTGGCCCAGAGCGCGAATGCCGGTGAAGTCTGCAGGCACACGCCGTAGGTACAATTTGAGTGCAGAGGTACGCCGCGATATCCGCGTGCCCCAGTGTCTTTGCCCGCCTTCGCGCTTCGACCAGGCATCCTTCACTTGAGTATCGACACAACTGCTTCAGCACCTGCAGCTCCCCGGTCGCCACCACATCCAGTAGTGTATTGTTCAGCGGTTTGCACTGGCGTCGCCCTAGAAACCCGACCACCTCCGCATGTCCACACAACGCCGCCTTGGTCATCGCGAACGAGGCTCTGGCCGTAACTCGATGTCGCTCTGCACCCGCTCTACCCTGAATAAACTCGAACAGATACCTCACCACCTCAATGTGTCCATGAGCTGCGGCTTGATCCAGCGCTCTCGAGGTGCATCCCTCCCTTCGATGCTCCAACAAGAACCTCAGCACCTCTGTATGTCCCGCACACGCGGCGTCATCGGCCGTTGTGCACGAAAAGCCTCGGAATCCGTGGTCATGTAGCCATTTCATCTTGTTGAGCTCCCCGTTGTAGGCCGCGAGCCGCAGAGCCCACGCCGAGACTTCTTTCGTCATCTCCGAGTGGTGCTGCAGCAGCCACTCCATGACCTCCACCCCCGTAGTGTAGCCCACGGCAATGTCCATGAGGTCCGCTTCGAACGCGTACGAGCTCAGCTCCAGATGCGTCTCCAGCCACTGCAACATCTTCAACTTGTCGAATCTCACGGCGCAGCGCACGACGCCCACGAACTCCGTCTCCGGGTTGCGGTAACTCGGTGACTGGCTGGCCACCAGCTTCAACAGAGCGTCCAGCACCGCCACCTCGTCGCAAATGACGGCCAGTTGGGGCAACAGACCGCGTGGAGACGGATATCTCCCCTCTACGCGCGGTCTGAAGCGCTGCGCACGCGCGAACTTCGCCACAACGGGCGGATACCCGTTCATGAAGGACACGACATGCTCGAACAGCGGCTTGCTCGTCAGAACCTGCAGGTACGCGCTCGTCCTGCGCGAAGAAGGCGACGCAGCACTAGTCGGCAGCTCCATTTCGAATAAGGGTAAGTATAGATCCGAGTAAGTAGACAAGGGTACCCGCTCGGCTTTCGACTAAGTAACGCAGGTTACACGACCAACAATTCGTCGTCTTCAAAATGAGACAAAGGCAACAAAAATGTTACTTATCCACCATTTAGAGTTATCGAGATAATCGCCTTAAAAGAGGCCAGGTTCAAAATCGTAACTAAACGAAGTCGTGAGAAAACGAGGAGTTTTGATTTTCAAAAATTTGAAGGGGGTGTATCGGCACGGATACCATTTCGAAAAGCCACTCGGACCACTACCTACAGCCATGCAGACACCACCCACGACGCCGACAGCACCGACCTCGCGCGCTGCAGCGCCAACTGCGCAGCCTGCGCAACCTCCAGCGCTGCCTCTCTCAGCCTCGCCACCGGCCACCTCGGCGCCAAGCCCGCCAGCCACGGCTCCGAGTCCGCCAGCCGCGACGTCGGGTCCGCCAGCCACGACATCGCCCTCCCAGGCACTGACTCCGCCGGCCACAACGTCCCCCTCCACGGCGCTGACTCTGTCGGCCACGGCACCCCTTGCTGCTCGGCGTCGCGAAGCAGACGAAGAGCCTGATTCTGCCGACGATTCTGTCTGTGGTGTCGATCCCACTGCTACCAGTGAGAGTGAGGTGAACGAGGACAGCAGCGACGACGACTTTACGCCTGATTCGGAGGCGTCGCCCAGCGACGACGAGGAACCGCTCACAGCAGAGAGCGCGAGCAGTGAAGCCGAAGATGAAGAGGATATTAGTATTTTTTTCAATGACGCGAGTCCTCGAGCCCGTGTGACTGAGGTGATTCATGCGGACGCGTGTGAGAACGAGTGCGTCAAGGGCAAGGCTCGTGAGTTGGAGTTCTTGCTGTGCTCGCTGGACCAGATGACGAAGCAAGAGCGCACCACGAGCTTGTACGCGCTCCTGGCTGTGTTGATGCAGACCCCCACTGTTGAGCGTAAGCGAGGACGGTGTGACCGTGAGAAGTTTCCGTACATCCTCCCCTACGTAGGTCATGTGTGCCGACCCACTTTCGCGCTCTGCTATGGAGTAGTCCCCATTACCTTGCAGCGCTACAAGATGCGCATCCGAGACGGTAACATGTCGATCAAGGCGCATGGTAACCGGCTCAACACGCATGCAGCTCGTAGAGGCTGTTAGTTCGGCGTCCAAGAGCTCAATCACGGTGCATCTGCCTCGCGGAAGCTCAGCGTTCAAGTCCTACAAACCTATTCTCACCGAATTGTACAAACGACTTGACGGCATCCAGAAGTTCCAGATTTTCACGATGGACGCATCGCAGCCGGGCGTCGTTGTCTGCAAGAAAGGCCCCGAGAGCGAACCTGTAGAGATTAGTTTGAGCCGTCAAATTGACGGGATCTTCACCACGAAGGAGAAGGTGCAGCGGATGATGACGGACCATATCGAGACGCTGTCCCCTCCTGTCCGCAACACCGAGAAAATTGCGCAGATGCACCACAACATCAGGCCCTACGTTCCTGCTGAATTTCAGAGCGATCCCCTCTACACCAAGCCTAGCGAGCAGGAAGGAGAAGATGCCAAGTCACGGAAACAAGGACGACGTGAGCATCGCGCGGCAATGGCCGTGGCGGCTAAGGCTAACCAAGTCCAGCGTGGTATCACGGAGGCTGTTGCGACGAAAAAGAACCCAGCAAAGAAGAGGGCTACTGCAGCAAAGAAGACGCAAAAGAACACGAAGCACAAAGCTACTGCGGATCTGCCTGCTGAGCAAGAATAGGCAGCCCAAGGTTGTAGTCGATCATTATGATACTTATGTCCACAGTTCATTCAAAATGTTACTTATATCCAGATATCAAATTTTCTAAAAAATTCAAAAATATACCCCTGGTGATTTGAAGTGACGGCACAAAAGTGAGATTCTAACACTGTTAGGCTTCGAATTGGCTAAAACGGACAACATTGTCGGATTCGCTGACTAATTTTACACCAGTTCATCAAAAAACAATTTTCCCTTTCGGGGTTGAAGTCGGACATATATTTTTTGACGGTCTCGTTCTCGGTCGTTTCTTCATACCAGAAGCTCGGGAGGGGCTCAAACGAAAGAGGAGACATCCCTCTTTCCAATTATGCGCCTAAATCGCGATTCGTACTTAGGTTGATAAGTAACATTTTGTTTGCCGTCGTCTCAAATAGGCAACCAGGAGCGTTGCTCCGGGAGGGTACACAGGTCGACGAATAGTTTATGGACGATGATAACGAATAATAAGTGAGTAACTCCCAAAGTTGTTTTGGTTTTAATCCTTAAAAGCACTACCAGCCCAACTCTCTAGTTGATTCTAACGTGGGCATCTACTGCGCCTGCTTCGCAGCCGCAGCATCTGCCCGAGAATGCGTAATTGAACAAATAGTTGCGCACATTGAAGTTTATCGATACGGAAATGATGTTTCAGCCAACCTTTGTGTGTCACACAAGCCGATGCGAAGACCTGAAGCTTGATGAGCGCAGTGGCGAGCGCTCGAAGAACACTTGAGAGGAAGTTGGAAAGTTGAAAAGTGATTGATTGATCCGTTAGTTTAGCGTCGGCGCGCCGCCGCCGCGCAACCAGTAGTTCTTGGCGACCAGGACACGTAAACAAGTATCCAGGTCCCATCCTAAAGTCTATCAATCTCAAATCCTAGATCAATCCTTATCTACCAATGAAAACCTACTAATCCTATTCGTAGCTTGGCCAAAATTTGTGACTTACGTCCCATAATCAAAAGTCCGGCTGGAAAACTTGATTGTTGCACATCTCAAGGATTTACAGCCAATGAGGTCGCGCGAATGTCCATGTTTACGCGTCCCATAATCAAGTTTACTTTTGACACCAGCCAATAGGATAGGATATAATGAATATAAACCATGCATCCCCGTATTACGCTGGACAGCGTAATACGCTGGACAGCGTAAACTGAAGTGCTGTGCAGCAGCACTTGACGTGGGAGTCCTCTGCCATCTCATTGGCAGACGGACGTCCACGTCACATGACCTCCCTTCCAAGAAGGCCCCACCACTTCGAAGCTGCACTTTACTTCTTCTTGGAGTCCCAGTACTTGTCAATGAGCCATGGAATCTGATTCAGGTTCTCTACGGGTTCCCATGTAGCGTCTTCTCGGGGTTCACCAAACCACCAAATCCGATATTGGAGCGTCTTCTTCCTGCGACGGTGGTCGATGACTTCACGTACAAGTTGTCCCTCTGAGCCATCATTCAAGATCACCTTGTTAACATTTTGGCTGCGTGATTCGTCGCTGCGATACGGCTTGAGCAACGAAGTGTGGAAACGGGATGCAACTTGAGCCCCTTCGACAACTTCAGCTCGTAGGAGTCATGATGAACTTGCTTCACGACCGGGTAAGGACCAATAAACCTTGGCGCAAGTTTCTTCGCCTGTGCAAACCCCTTGTGACGAATGTCCAAGTTCCGTCCATCCAAAAGTACCATATTCCCGGGTTTGAAGTCTTGAGCAAGTCTGTTCTTGTCATAATACGACTTCATTCGAGTTTGCGCCTCACTCATCGCGTCTTGTGCCATTTTCAAAATTGCGTCTTGCTTGAGCAGGAAATCTTGTGCTGACTTCTGCAACTGCTCAAACTCTGGGTCCCCAGCCACCTCATCTGGCATATAGGGCACATAACCCAGATCAGCCTCAAACAGTGACATATCGATCGAGGAATGGACACGTCTGTTGTACGCGAATTCGGCGAGATGTAGGTATTCATCCCAATCATTCTGGAATGGGTTCACGACGCCTCGTAGATAGTCTTCAATAAACCGATTAGTACGCTCGGTCTGACCATCCGTTTGCGGGCGGAAGGCGGACGACAAGTTATGAGTCGTCTCTAATGTCTTAATCACCTCCTGCCAGAACTTTGATGTGAATTTCGAGTCACGGTCTGGGACGATCGACTTCGGCACTCCATGGTCTTTCACATAATTGGCCATGAATAGCGCAGCAGTCTCTTCTGCTGTCGCCGCCGTGTTCGTGGCAATGAACTTAGCACGTTTCGTCAACCGGTCGACAATAACCATAATGGCGTCTTTTCCGGCTGCCGTCTTCGGTAGTGCAACCTTGAAGTCCATCGTCACATCAATCCATCTGCCTCCTGGAATCTCCAACGGTTGAAGTAGTCCCGGCGGCTTCGTTTGGCGTGCCTTGTTTCGCTGACAAAGCTCGCACGTGTTCACATAACGCTGAATGTACTTCGACATCTTGGGCCAGTAATATTTCTTCTGGACGCCTAAGTATGTCTTGAAGTATCCGGGGTGACCTGCCGTGACCACATCGTGGTTTTCACAAATAACACGGTTCTTCAGATCTTCATTGTCCGGAATTACCAGTCGAGCATTTTCATCATCTCTCGTTTGGTAATACAGCAGTCCATTCTTCACAGAGTAGCGTGGTACCTCTTTACCACTAGCGATACTCTGCAACAGCTCCTGAACTCATCGGTCTGTAGAGTACAGTTGTTTGGCCGAGTGCGTCACAGTTGCACTGGTCGTTTGGACGCTAGCTACAATTTCACGGTTTCGAGCCGCTTCAATGAGCTCACTGAGACTAACCTGAGCGGCTTTGTGCTCAAAGAGTGGGTTTCGAGACACTGCATCCGACACTTGGTTGAACTCGGCTAGTTCATTAAACCAGCGAGCCACACGACGGTTTGTTGTCTTCTGCGTCAATATAGTCTCAATACTCTTGTGGTCTGTCTCCACCGTAAATGGCCGATCGAGCAGGTAGACTCTCCACACCCGAAGCGCATGCATAATAGCCGGCAATTCCTGTTCGCGCACTGGGTAGTTTAGCTCCGCTGGTTTCATTTTACGACCAGTGAATACGATCGGATGCTCGAGCCCTCCCTCGTTTTGAAACAAGACTCCCCCTATGGCAAAGTTCGAGGCATCCATACGAATACCGAACGGTTTTTCGAAATCCGGAAG